ATATATATATATATATATATATATATATATATATTCCTGGGAATTAAACAAAAATATATAAAAGCAAATAAACTAAACTAAGGTGAGGTATTTTCATACTTCACGATATATATTCTTTTAAATATATCTTTAACGAAGAAATGTTGTAAAAATTGATCTTGTTCGCACGACACTTTTCTTCAATAGCGCCTTCAGTGTAACAATTGATGAAACCGGCGTGGCGTCCGGTTCGTTAATTAAAGGTTAATTTAATTCTTCCAGGCTCTTTCTGGACATCAATATGACGCGATGGGCGACCGGAGTCGGCGAGCTTCACATTCCACGTAGTATATGCAGCGATAACTGCCCGATGGGACACGTCCGCAATTTTCTGGTAAGTGCACACTGCAAAGTCTGAGGATAACCAGAACCGCTGAGTGCTATGCGGTTCTATTAGCTGATAGGATGTCCGCGAAAGATCTATCGATCCATCGAATAATGAGAGATTAAAGCGAACGATAGCGAGTATTAATTGCGAGTATTAAACGGGATAATGAGAGGGACGCTACAGTAAACGAAACAGTAAACGGCGTTTTTCTTTTTTTTTCTTTTTTTTTTTAAATAAATATTAACTTTGTTTCAATACAATTTTCTTGTTAGCACTCTAGTAAGGGATTTAGCAAATTTAATGGGGGGAACGGTTAACCAAGGATTAGCGGTTAAATGGGAATTGCTACATTAACTAATAAGCATTAGCCCATTCGAGTCAACATCTGCTAATTCCTATGCATTACTGCACCAAAATTCGTTTACAGCTCTAATTTTATCCCCTTGGGCTTTTAGAATTTAATATAAATTAAAAAAATCTTTTTTCTTCTTTTCGTTTGCGGTTTATTAATGCGAAATTAATACGTTATTTAATAATCTCTCTTTGCACATATATCTGTCTTATTTTTTTTTTTTTACTATAAAAAAGAAAAAGAGAGATATTAGAGATAAAAAAAAAGATATAGCACTACACCTGATAATAATCTAAATAATTTTTTTTACATAAGATCGTAAGAGTGTACGACACAAAAATACATAAAAAAAATAATATACGAACTTACTAATTAACTTTGCTTTTAATAAAACAAAACTAATAAACTTTGCTTTTAATAAAACAAAATTAATAAAATTTTAAGACCACCTCAGCGATAATTCAGCTCATCTTGCACGGTATGTATAATTAAATTCTGACACACGTTTTGACTGAAATCCCCCACGGGGAGTCCGACTGTATAATTTCCATAGACTCTCGTGATACGCGAGTTACGTCTAATAAAATGAACGCGGACTATCTTCTGCCTCGTGCCCCTCTTTCCTCCTGTTCTCCGCTCCCTTGTCCTCTCAACGGTCAGAATTTCATGCAAGTTAAAGTAGATCTGTAATTGTGCTCCAATCTCGAGTTTAACCCTGGCGAGCATTTCCCACAAACTTATCTTCGGACGTAAGCATACATATGTGAAACATAGATTAATGCCGACCAAGTAATTATACCGCGCTACACGGTTTTTACACGTCAGTTTGCTGTTCAACGGAACGTCCACTTATTTCGAAGCAAAAGTTTATAATTTCCTAGCTTCAAATTAAAAACTTGCGCGAACTTGCAATTCCGGATTTATGCAGAATTAAGGGCATTTAAATTTCAGAAAGAACTAAATCCGCTATAAAAAAGAGACAAAATGGTAAAAATAATATTTATATAACGGTTTGGTATGTGAATAAATATTAAAAACAGAACATACATCTACATATCTACAAAGCATTGTATGTAACTGCATTATTTATATAAAGATATATTTTGATTTCAAAATATACATATATAAAGAGAACACATTTTCCTTCTTATTTCCTATAGTATTATATAGTATTGTAATATCATCTTATGTTTCCAAATTAATTTCCAATCTATTTTTTTTTTTACACTATTAAAATTAAATTTCTTTAGTCTGTCATAGTGCATCAGTGCATTATTTTAATTAATTTAATTAATATATAGACTGTAAATTTGCAAAATGTAATTTGTATTTGTGAAGCAATAACGACTTCTGACGCTTAAATGCCTTGGGATGTAACACATTTAGTTCATATGATTGCGTATATATATTCCTGATGAATATGGCTCGTGAATGTTTAAAGTGTCTCGCTTAATGTTTCATCGCCAAGAGTTAATGATACACGCATCAAACTTTCTCCAGATCGACGACAGTTTGAGAACTCCATAACGCCGATAATTGGTTGCTTCTCTTGGTTGATATCAAGCAAAATGAGAAATATCCGATATTATGGAGAATTGTCGTAGCCAAAGGCATTACCGAGCATTTCATTATGGCCACGGCTAATTAGCCTCCGGCTCCCTTTAGAAAATGTAAAAAAAATCCTCGATCCATTCTCTTTCCCTCATTATGAAATCAGACATAATACGATCTTTAGTGAATGAGGAATAAAACATATTATTCATACAAGTCGTTTATGTAAAAAAAATCATATAAGTCAGATCTTTAATGTCGCCAAAATATGACTTGACAGTTTGTTAAAATTATCTAGTTTTGTATACAGTTATATATAATTGTCCTTCTTTCTTCAATATTTTACTTATATATCATTGCAACATTGTTGCAACCGCCGTTTTGTAAAAAACTTTAACTTGAGGAACAATCGACAGTCCCAATTATCCTCCGTTTTCCCCGTTTCTCAATGTATTCCTTCGAGGAACGAAAACGAAAGCATTTACTTCACTTTGTTCGTATGCTCCGTTACTTTTAAACTTTGATTCCGTTTGTAGATAATATATAAGAAGTTTCTTGTAAGTTTAACTTATCTTTCCTTTAATCTTAATCTAAGCTCCTGAAATTTCCTTTCTTCTCTCTAACGTTAAAACCTGCCCTGACTTTACTATTTTTCCCGTAATTTGCTTCTACATTTCAAGATCATCCGCGACTTTAATCGACGAGTCATATGTCCTTCGTATTATTTCCTCCTCTTCTTATATCCGTCCACTACTTTTTACATTATCAATCTGCACACATATATCTTACAAGATTTTCCACATTTTCCGACTTTCATTTATAGACACTAGGAAATCTTTTTCAGGAAACTTTTTTCTGATTCCAGCTTAAATTTTATTCAAAAAGTTTTAGGGGGAGAATTTAAAGTCTTAAAGTCTTTTCTAAATTCCGCGTCTTCTGCTATCTGTTCATCGTCGCAATTACTTTCGTTTTATCACTTTTCCGCAATTCGCTCTCGGAATAAGCTCCTGCGAGATTTAAAGCTCAATTATTATATCTACGTCTAATTGATAGTTGATGACGAAGGAGAGCTTTTTAGTTATGACGAAAGTTTCACGATGTTCGTTATTACCTATTATTAGGAGAAATGACGTCTCTAAAACGTCTCTGCTCTTCTGAAAAGCTGACGCAAATGACACAATTCCGTGTCTGAAGTCAGTAAACTTCATATTCGTTTGCAAGGTAGTCCGATGAATTCCTGACAAAAGCTCTAATTTTAACAGATAAGTTTAACAAGATACTTTGTTACGTGTCGGAAAGTGCGACTTAAGCGATTAAATGTAATATTAATAAACAAAAAATTTTTTTTAAATTAAAGAAAACACTTTTATATTATTTATTTATAAATATTTATTTTTATTTTATCTTATATATAATTTCAAGTTCACATAAAATATCGATATTTAATAAATTGCAACATTCTCGAACATATATTTGATATATTTAATTTTTATTTATTTTGCATTACTATACTTTATTTATTTTACGCTACTGTAATAACAATTGTAATAACTGTAATAACTTGTAATAACAATTTTATTTTGTTGTTTAAATATTAACATTGAATTCATGTACTTTTTTATATTTATAGAATATAATATTTATATAATTTAAGAAAAATATATTATAGTTCTGTGTATTCAACAAAAGTAAAAAGAAACATTGTTGAGATAAAATGTGTTAATAATATTTTTATCGTTAAGTTTAATTAATTGACTTTTAATTATGATTTACTGAATACTATTATTGTTTACACATGTGTACACATAGTGAATCACAGTTCACTTAATAAACTTATAAATTAAGAGAAAAAAACAAGTAGTAAAAGAAGGAATAGAGTATCAGTAAATATTAATTCACTAATGCGTCTTCAAAAATATTTAAACTTTATTGCGTTTGAATAGAAATACTATTAAATTGATATTGGTAATCTACGTATATATAGCTGGTTCGTTAATTAGCGGATCTAAGCAAATATTGCACACGCTCAAAGTGCAGTCCGTTGCATTTTTCGCGTTAGCTTTCGTATTACGCAGGCGAAAGGGAAATGCAAATAAACGCGTTGATAAGTGCGATTCATTAAGCTAACTTAATTAAATAATTAATTAATTACGCTGGAAATGTACACAACTGGCCGTTCCACGTCGCAAACCGATTGTATGCGCTATCCGATTGGAGTATACGTTTTGATAGTTGTCTATCAATGAGCATTGCTGTAATAACAATTAAAAACGTTAATTGTCGACACTCTCTATCTCATTTCTATATAATCACATGCACACTCGATCACATGCGCAGTTCGATCTTCGTACAAATAATGTAACTCATAATGATTATAATAATTACAAGAATTTTCATTCTGACAATGCTAATGACGATAATGGGAATTATTAACTATTAGCGCATTATTAACAGTCAGAAATTATATATGAAGCATTGCAAATCAATATCGGTCAATGATAACATAATAATAACACAATAATAGCCGACTGATTGAAATTCAAAATTATTAATAATTATTGATATGTAATTCAAGTCAATACGAGTGATGATATATGCTTTGTAAAGTTACATGCTTAAAGCCTCTTGTTAGAAATTTTCAAAATGTCATCTTAATCATATTCTTGTGTCATCGATTTGTCTTCAGCAGTCCTTTATTATTATTATTTATTAAGTATTACTCGGGCAAACTATTAACTCGAATATTTTTAAATACTTTCAAACTACAATGAAACCGTCAGTTTTATTCCTCAGAACAAGAACCATTTGTTATCCCGGTGTTAATGCAAAATAAGCCGATGCTAAAGGAGGAGCATATTTTGCACTTAGAAATAAATTTATTTTTCAATGCAGATTCTGTAAATAATTCCAATCTGTTTGTTTGCCTGTTAGTTCAAATAAACGTCAATGGAGATTTCGCTGATCTAATGGAGCTTGATATTTATTCTAGTAGTTGCATGAAAAAAACGGGTTTTCCCCAAATACTATTGATCCTTTGTACGCCGTGTTGGAACGTGCTTTACGTCACTGTTTTTCAACCGTTCAGACAAGAATAGTCACTGAAAAACCGTCACTTCTTGTCCAACAGAATCCACTTGTCCAAAAGCTTGTATGTCCTGTACGTATCAAAAGTAAAATTCTGTATTTATTTTTATTTCTTGTGCTAAAATGTATATGTATATCACATATACACATATATATACATTTTATGATAATTACAAATATATTATTTAATAACAGAAGATATATATATATATATATATATATATATAC